CATTGAAGGCAAAGTAGAAGCTGAAGCCTTTTCCATGCTATTGAATGCATTGTTTGTGATTTTCCATGAAAAGCATTTCACTTCAACTTCAAATGAGCAGAACTAGGTTAACTAAATGTAGCTTTGCATACTTAGCAAAGAATTTTAAGAGATCTGTTTCATGAAGGAATTTCATAGTTTTGAATAAAATGTTTCTCAGTTAGACTACAGTGGACTCTTGGAGAGTAATTGTTTCTCCATTCCTCAGTTTAGCAGGAACATCTGGTCTTCGTGTTTGGAATGCTGCTAAGTTGGTTCAGAATTTGAAGCCTCCAGAGGATCTGTGAGTTTAATTTTCAAGCCTAGTTAATCTTGTCCATTACCAAAATGTATGAGAAGTTTGAGTTTTAAAATTAAGCATGTGCCAGGCACAGTGGTATATACCTGTAATCCTAGCCACTCAGGAGGCTGAAGCAGGAGGATCACAAGTTCAAGGCCAGGCTTGGCAATTTAGTCAGGCTGTGTCTCAAAATAAAAATTTTAAAGGGCTGGAATGTGTCTCAGTGGTAAAGTACTTGCCTCACGTGTGTGAGGCCCTGAGTCCAATTCCTAGTGCTACCACCAAAAAAGCAGAAGCATATTTTCTTTTGTTTTTTGGTATTGGGAATTGAACTCAGGGCCTTACATTTGCTAGGCAGGTGCTGTGCCTCTGAGCTGCATCCCCAGCACTAGAAGCATATGTTTTGTTTTGTTTTGTTTTTGGTACCAGGTATCGAACTCGGGACCTTGCGCTTGCAAGGCAGGCACCAGAACCACTGAGCTACATCCCCAGCCCAAGCATATGGTTTTTTTTAAGCATATGTTTTTTGAGACAGCATTTTATTGTGTACTTCAGGCTAGTCTTGAACTCACTGGGTAGCCCAGGCTGGCCACAAACACATGAAGATCCTCCTGCCTCAGGTTCCTGAGTGCTGGTATTATAGGCATGTACCACTACAACTGGCTTGGATGTGAATTATTTCATCTTTTGGGGGACTGCATATTCCCATTTGATTTGATAGAGTTACTATTGTCCCCATAGCAATCGGATGAATCTTATTTCAGTGTTCTATTTTGATTGACTTTTGACTTTAGGAATTTCTTAGGAATGAAAAAGGTCAAGCGTGAGGCCCTGAGTTCGATTTCTGGTAACAAAAAAAAAAGAGAAAATGTCATTAACAGATAATAAAACTTAGGGCCGGGGATTTAGCTCAGTGGTTCTGGCGCCTGCCTTGCAAGTACAAGGTACCAAGTTCTATCCCCGGTACCCCCCCCCAAAAAAAAAAAAGTGAACAGATAATAAAACTTTAAAATAGAACAAGCTTCCAGTTTTTTTGTTTTGTTTTGTTTTTTGCGGTATTGGGGATCAAACTCATGACCTTGCACTTGAGAGGCAGGCGCGGCACCACTGAGCTAAATTCTTGGCCCTGAAGCTTCCAGTTTTCTGAAACAAAATTCTTAAGGTAGTGATACATAAAAACAAAGAAAAACAAGCAGTGATGGGTCTGGCTGATTTATAGAATGTAACAATAATGACAACATACCGAAAACCTGGACTCTCCCCCAGCGCTGAGGAGTGAACCCAGGGCCTCAGGTACACCAGGCACACACTGTACTATTAGGCTGTACTTCAGGCTGCGCTTGAATTCACTATGTAGCCCAGCCTGGCTTCAAAGTTGTGGTGATCCTCCTGCCTCAGCCTCCTGGGTTATAGGTGTGTGTCACCACACCCAGCCTAAATACATGTATTTTTAAGGATTTGTTGAGGTTTAACAAATGCGGAGGCCGGTGAAGACAGCAAGGAGTGTTTACACATTAGTGCAGAGCGGGCATGGGACCCTCAGGCAGAGGCAGCCCTCCTGCTGGCTAAGCTGCCCACTGTTTTTACCCTCCGGAGAGTCCGGATGTAGATAAAACCTGCAGCCGTGCCAGTGGAAACCCTCATTTCCACTCTGCTCCAGTGGTTCTAATGTTTTCCTCTCCAAAGGGAACTGGGGAAATGTGATTAAGTCAACTACTAGACTTAATCTTGTTTTTGATGGAAATATTTCCTGCTATAAAGTGCAATGGCTGTGAATCTGCCGGCAGAGATTATTTGCCGTAACGAGACCTGTCTCCTGAGAGGCGATTTCCAGCAATGGCACCACGAGCCAGATGGCTAATCGCAGAGTGGCAGAGTGCCACAGGGACGCGGGTGTGGGCTCGGATCTGGGGTGAGGGTTTGTTATTCCTGCCACTCACCCCCGGGGAAGTCAGGACGAGCATGAGAAACCCGTGTCGCTGCCGCCCTTCCTCTCTGTGGGGTGCGCGCCCACAGATCTGAAGCCAGGTTGAAAATACTCGGAAAAAATTGCATCTGCACTGAACGCGGAGAGGTTGTGTTGTTGCTTTGCCTAAGCAGTGATACGACAGGTATTTCCATGGCGCCCACACCGTGTTAGTGACCTGTGTAACCTGAACTGAAGCCTGTGGGAGACGGCGGAGGTGATCGGCACAGACCATGCAGATCCTGTTTTACTGGCGGCGGGGGGTGGGGGGTGGGGTTTGCATCCGCACACCCTGGTGTCCACAGGGTCCAGCAACCAATCCCCCCTGGGGGACAACTGGTGTCCCCATCGTGTAGCAGTGGAAATAGACTCGACTCCCACAGAACTGTGTTCTTCCACCTAACGCTTTGGTGGAGTGTACAAATGCTTTTACCTTTATAAACATTAGACCATCTGAAAATGCTTTCGCCAAAGAAGACCTTTTAAATTTTATGTCCTGTGTACTTGAAATTCGTGTGTGCTTTCTGAGTAGGGTTAGTTATCAACCGTTTATTGAGCAGTCCCACTCGCCAGCCACTGTGGCGTACTGGAAATTCAGTGCTTAGCTAAATGGCCGTAGTTCCCACTTGGGTGGCGTGCTGTCATTCTGCCCACAAGAAGAGACACGGCGTTGCTTCCCAGGTTCAGAGACGCCCCATGGATCGGCTCAATCACGCCAATCCGAAGGCCTCTCGGGCCTCCCCGGCCCACCGGGACCTCAGCTCTTCGCTTGGTGTTACTGCGCGCCCGTGCGTATGTGCGTGCGTGCGTGTGTGCGTGTGTGTGCGCGCGCGCGTGTGTGCATATCCCGCACTGCTGACTCCTTCAGGGGGCCCTGCTCAGGATCTGCGGCTCAGCATGGTGCTTCTTTTGTGGTTGCATTACACATAAGTATTTGTTGCCTTCAAGCTACTGTCCTAAAATTGCTTAAAATCATACCAATTCCTTTGAAAGGTATTCTACATTGAATTTTTTAAAGTGCCTTTTCCTTTGTCTTTCGTGGTTAGAGTCAAACCACTGAGTGCACTGAAGCTTCTGCCGTCTCTACAGTGGCGCTGAGGTGAAGCTGCTCAGGGCCGCTCTGCCCACGGAGCCCCGTTTCCGTTTCCTCTGGCGGGCCTGGGACCTTTTCTGGCAGAACAGTGCTGGCCAGAGCTGGCGTCCCCCTTTTTTTGTGTTTGTTTGTTTTTTGGTACTGGGATCGAACTCGGGTCCTTGCGCTTGCACAGCAGGCGGCGAAACCACTGAGCTAAATCCTCGGGCCCTTCCCCCTCTTTTTGCAATTGAAGAGCGTGTTAACCGGGAACTGTTTTCCTTTTGCTATGACCCTCTTCCTCCCACCTACCCTCCTCCACGAAAGTTAGGTTAGGGTTACTACTTTCCTTTCTAATTTTTGGGTTTTCCCCATGTGTAAGTTAATCACTCCCAAAACAAACAGGCCCAACGTCACCGGGAACTCTGCTTGCTCCTGTCAGGAGCGTCGCCTGTCCCCTTCAGCAAGCGCACCGTCCTGCTGGGAAAAGTGAGAGCAACAGTAAAACACACGGAGCAGTCTGAGCTTTCTGTGGGACTTGGGGGTTATGAACCTCACTCTTCACAGTTAGGCTGTTGGTTATAAATTCTGTTCTGTCTCCTTCCTGAGCCTTCCGTTGTGATGACTCGTGAGTTCTGGCCACCTGCCGAAGGTCAGGCCTAAAGAATTCCATGAATGCACAGAATTTCAAGTAGTTCTTTTTTTTTCCCCCCATACCAGAGATCAAACTCAGGACCTTGCACTTGCCAAGCAGGTGTGGTGCCACTGAGCTACATCCCCCAGCCCAGGTAGTTCATTAATTTTCAAAAACTGTGCATGCTGTGTTGGTTGTTGCATGGCATGTTTTGAGCCATGTATACTGTACATGGTAGAATGGCTACACTGACCCCGTTAAAATACACATTGCCACGTACCTATCCTTATGTTTTGTGATGAGGACACTTAAAATCTTAAACTGTCTGCAATTTTCAAGATTATAAAATACACTGTTATTAAGTAAAGTCTATAATTCTAATTTTAAACAAATTAAATGAAGCAGGCCTTACAGGACAGAGCATAATTATCAAGTGATTAGTTAAAAATCTTGAAAGGAGGTGATTCTCATTTTAGATTTAGTTTGTTGTGGTTGACAAACTTAAATAAAAAGCCCAGGGAACTTGTGTACCAAATCTGCTTTTGTAGGGTTCTGGTACTCTGGAGTGAGGCGGTGACAGGTAAGTGAATGGAGTGATGACCCCCGCCCGGGCTGTGTGTCTGCGTTCTGACGCCTCTAGTATAAGAACATTCACTAATGTCTTCGTATCCCAGACTGTTTCCCTTTCATGCCTAGATTCTTCCTACTTTGTTTATTCTTTTCCACTACCCACTTGTTCGTTACACATATTACAGTTATTTTTCAATACTTCTAATAGAAATCAGGCTTAAAAATTAGATTTAAGGCCGGACATGGTGGCACACACCTGTCATCCCACCACTCAGGAGGCTGAGGCAGGAGGATCACTGTGAGTTCAAGGCCAGCTTGAACTACACACTGAGACCCTGTCTCAAAACAAAGAAAATTAGCTCTGAGGAAGCGTGGTTCTGCTGTGAGTGCATCTTGGCCGCTGAGAGTGTGAGTTGCTGACCTCTCTGGACACCCGCAGGTCCTGGGCCCCGCGCCTCGATGGTGCTCTTTCCTGGACAGCCTGACAGAAGAATTAGAGGAAAATCCAGAGAGCACGGTCTACGACGATTACAAATTCGTCACCAAGAAAGACCTTGAAAATTTAGGTAAAAAAATTTTGCTGTTTATAAAATTATTTTATTTTTTTATTTATTTTTTATTTTTTTAGTTCTGAACAGCTGGCTAAACAGTATTTCTCTGATTTTCCAAATCTTTTCACTAAATCAGGTATTAAACTAAGTTGTCGCATTTGTTATCTCTGCTTAAAGAAAAGATTGAGGTAAATCCAACTTCCTGAAGATTTCTGTATCTGAAACAATAAGTGATTTCTTTTAGCATATTGAAAAACATAACATAGAAAACTCAAGAAAGCAGTGATTTTTTTTGAAGCACTACTTGACTGCACCTGGATAGTTTCTGGTTCCCTTTTAGATTTGCTTATAAAAGTCCTGATCCAAAATTTAGGATCATGGATTGAACTCTCAATCCAGTCCAAAGTCTCTGGTTTTACCGCACTGGATTTCTGGGTTAGGAATACTCTGCTGCTGTGCTAGTCAGCTGTCCGCCACTGTGACACACATCTGAGGTCATCAGCTTATAAAGAGAAAAGATTTCTTTGCCTGTCATCCCAGCACTCGGGAGACTGAGGCAGGAGGAGAATTGCTCTGATTCAAAGCCAGCCTGGACTACTTAGAAGAGACCTTATCTCAACCACCCCATTTCCAAAAAAAGAGCAAAAGGAGGTGTCCTGGTCCTCCAGTCATCTTTGAGGACCTCCACTGGGCCCCCTTACCGCCTCCATTACCTCCTAACCACACCCTCGGAGGGCCCAGCCTTTAACATGGGAGCCTTAGCAATCCCTCGGCCCAGCCTGCAGCAGCAGTCGAGTCCACACAGTTCTCCACACCACAGCTCTAGAACCAGACCTTCCGGGCCCACATGGCTCAGACAAGGTGCTGGGTGTGTGGCCCACTTGTATTCAGTCACAGAATAACGAGCACTAGCACAGGGCCTCCTGAGGTCCGGGTTTACTCGAACTCCTTCCATGCTGCAGAGGGAAACTGAGGCAGGGAGGCAGGAGACACCCCCCCTGAGCTGGGGTGCGGCCCTGCGGGAATGTCTTCACCGCTGCGGTTGACTGCGGGCAGGGAGCCACTGCTGATGTGGTTCGGTGGCTGGCTGGCAGCTGCATGCGAGTCATGGAGAGTGGAAATGCATAGGGTCCGTTCCGCACAAGTTCGGGCAACACGGCTTGAACAAGTATGTGAAGGCAGCAGTTGACTATTAAAAGAACAGACCTGAACCTTATGTATAATCTGTATGGCAGCATAGTTAATCCAGACAGAACTAATTCTGCCACTTAATGTGTTGTAAGGACAGAGGCATTGCATCCCCCGTCCCCCAGAGGTGACTGCTGGGTGACGTAGGGACGGGCGCCTTCCACCTCAGCACTCTTGGCGATGGCCCCAGGGCCGCCTTTCACTGCGCCTTTCAGCCCAGAGGTGAGAGTCACAGTTATTTCGTGGGGGTTTTGTTTTGCTTTGCTTTTTATTTTAGGTTTGTTTGTTTTTGAGCCAGAGTCTCACTATGTAGCCCAGCCTGGCCTCGAACTCACAGGGATCCTCCTGCCTCAGCCTCCTGAGTGCTGGGATCACAGGCATGAGCCACCATACCTGGCTTTTGCAGGGTTTTTAAACTACTGCCTTTAGTATATTTGGGGTACTTTTTCAGTCTCTGGCTCTGCTTATTTAGAGTGGGGAAAGCAGTTTAGGTACATTTTGTTTAAAAGTAATCACACCACCCATTAAAAAAAAATTATACAGATAGCTGTTAACTGCAAGATAGCAGTTACACTGGAAAGCATCTTTATGTGTATTACTAATCTTTTAATATGAAACAAACACAGGTTATCATTTCCAGTAGATTTCTGCATCGTGGCTAATGCTTTCTAAATTGTTTATCTTAAGGTAGAAATAAGGCTGTGCTGCTCCCTTACCTTATTTCCTCAGAGGCCTTGGTGCAGTATCCATACTGGGCCCTGTGCTCTCCGACTCCCTGAGTCTGCAGCCTTCCTGTGGCTGCCATTTCCTACACGCTCCACGCAGTGTGAGTGGGGAGCAGCAGGCACCCGGCTGCCTCCACCTCTGCTGAGGGGCTGCAGCGTGCAGGTGCCCCTGGTGTGCGGGACACGTGCAGGCTGGATACCCACACACTGACTGCAGAGAGTTGCTCATTAGTCCGTGATGAAGGGGTGTAAGGGTGCTGTGGCCCTGACACGCACAAGTGTTTTAATATGCAGGGTGGAAGCCTGTGTCCATTCTACATTGTTGTGACAGGGTCCTTTGTCTTTGGAAACAAAGGAGATACTGTTTCTCCTGTGCCCTCTTGCTTCCTGCTTGGTAGTATAAAATTTGCATTTACTGTTGATCCCCAATACTGCTTTTTATTTATGATGGTTAGTTTTATTTTTTGCAGTACTGGGGATTGAACCCAGGCCCTTTGCATTGAGCTGCATCTCTAGCCTTTTGAAAAAAAAATTTTCCCCCCAGTACAAGGGATCAAACTCAGGACCTTGTGCTTGCAAGGCAGGCACAATGCCACTGAGCTAAATCCCCGGCCCCTACAAATTTTTTATTTTTGAGCCAGGGTCTCACTAAGTTACTCAGTCTAAGCTCAGACTTCCAGTCCTCCTGCTTCAGCCTCCCACAGTACTGGGATCACAGGCGTGCACTGTGTCCATCTTTTATTTATTGTGAGGCAGTCTCACTAAGTTGCCTGGGGGCAGTGAACATAACGCCATCCTGCCTCAGCCTCCCGAGTAGCTGGTGCATGGCCTATAGCACCATGCCTGGCCCCAATATTACTTTCTCAGTCAGATGACTTGGTGGAATTCCAAAATCTAAAAGCTGTTAATATAAAGAAGCCTCGTTACCAGTTTGTTGTAATTCGTGAAGACTTTTTAAATCACTTTTATGCTTAGTGTAACATCTAATAAGGATGATATTGTTTTGGTTTTGGTTTTTTTGAGACAGGGTCTCACTATGTAGCCCAGACTGGCCTCAAACTCATGGCCATCCTCCTGCCTCAGCCTCCCAAGTGCTGGGATTATAGCCGTGTTCCATCATACCTGGCTAAAAACAGTATTAATGAAGTAGATTAAAAGTTTTCCATAGATGTTGAAAATTAGTAATTCTAATCCCTAAATTTTTACTCCAAACTGAAATCTGATTGTGACGAATCATTGTCTGAAAAGAGTGACTAAGTTTTCTGCAGACTTGGTAAGGCCCCACTCTGTTCTGCTTCCTTCCCCAGGGCTCATGCATCTCATCGGCTCGCCCTTCCTGCGGGCGTACATGCATGGGTTTTTCATGGACATAAGGCTCTATCACAAGGTAAGCAGGGCAGACCTGGCTGGGAGCTCTGCTCTCTGACCCAGCAGCTGTGATGTCCACGCTGCTAAATGCCCTTTGTTGTTGTTCCATTTTGAAAAGGTAAAACTGATGGTCAACCCATTTGCTTATGAAGAGTACAGGAAAGATAAAATTCGACAGAAGATAGAAGAGACGCGGGCACAGCGCGTCCAGTTAAAGGTAAATAGCACCAGTGAATTTACCAAAGAAAAATAGTCTGTTTCCCTGTCACGTATCGCTCCAAAGAAACCTGGCCTCCTTTTCATTTTTTAAGTTTTCTCGGGAGGGACTCAGTGACAGCATGGCCGGCGATGGCCCGGAGTGACTGGCTCAGTCCCCCCTCAGGGAACCCCGTGGTATCCATGGGCTGCAGTTCAGGGAACTCGGGGCTCCTCACAGGCAGATCCCGGGCTCCGTGTGCGACACCAGCCCAGACCGTGGTCCCTTCAGGGCCCATGTCCATCAACATGAGTCACCCCTCAATACAGCATTGGTGACAGCTCCCTGTGTCTGTCTGAGTCCCCTCTGAGGGGAGGTGAGGTGTAGTTACCTCCTGGCTGTGAAATGACTCTCCTGACAGCACGTATGCCCTTTGAAGCTAAAATGTAGAGAACTGTACCGCAGCTTTTCTTCCCTTCCTTACTAGAAGTTGCCAAAAGTTAACAAAGAGCTGGCTCTCAAATTAATGGAGGAAGAAGAAGAGAAGCAGAAGTCTACATGGAAAAGGAAAGCAAAGGTGAGATTCTGTCTGAGGGGCAGATGCACTGTCTGCCCCACCTTCCTCACAGCCTGGCCAGCCCTCTGCCGCTGCATTCGTCCCTATCCTGCGTTTTCTTGATAGTAACTTGGATTTTTTTGTGTTTGAGGGGTCCTTACTTTTAAAGTGCATGTGGTGTTTCCCTGTTTTCTGCCCTTATTGAGAAGGGAAGTTTGAGAAATAGAAAAAAATATCAAGAAAGCCACCCCGTATTCTTCTAGCCAGGGAAAGGGGCCATTAATACTTCAGTGAGGTTTTTTTTCCTGTCTTATTTCTCTTAAAATTATAAAAGCACTGTTGTCAGAGCCCGGTTTCATTTCAGAAATACTTACACTCTCTGTGTGTCTTTGGGAAATCGGAGGCTGAGGCAGGAGGATCACAAGTTTAAGCCCAAGCCTGGCAGCTAGTGACTTAGTGAGACCCTGTCTTAAGTAAAAAGGGCTTGGGGTTGCAGCTCAGTGCAAAGGCCCTGGGTTCAGTCCCCTGTATGGCAAAAAAGAAAAGAAATCTGAGGCTGTTGAAAAGCAGCGTGTGTAACAGTTTTATCTTACGTAAAATAAAGAGCTTAGCTGGAGAGGAGGCGGCCGAGACCTCACAGCAGCTGCCGTCCAGCCGGTCACCCATGCTCACCGAGCCCTTCAGCCTATAAATGGGTCTCGCTGCTGCAGGGGCCGTGGGGACAGGAGACACTGCAGCCCGGGCTGCTGCTCTGTCTCCTCCACCCTGAGCAGCATCTCTCCCCGCCTCGTGCTGGGCTGCAGACCCCCTCCGCCTCTTCACCCACACAGGCTGAGGCCACGTCGCTCGCTGTGCGGAGACAGGCAGGTGTGTGCGTGGCTTATGCGCCACGTGTGCAAACCGCTCTAGAACGTGAGCAGTGAGGTCATCTCATATGCTGTTTTTTGTTTGTTTCTTTGTTTGTTTTTTGGTACCGGGGATGGAACTCGGGTCCTTGCGCTTGCTCAACAGGCGGTGAAACCACTGAGCCAAATCCCTGGGCCCATTTGCTGTTTTTTAAGAGACAGCTGCAAAAGCAAACATTAGAAAAAGTCCTGGGGGAAATACTTTTGGCAGCAATGTGGGAAGAGCTTTCTCTTCACTGTTGCGCACAGAGCAAGCCTGTCTTGAGGCAGTGCAATCTGCTTCTTTTAAATTAAAAAAAAAAATCTTTAAAATAGCCGCAGCACATTCTTTTTAACATTATTCCCTGCTGCTTATTAAATGTGATTACTACTTTAATCAGTGCGGTACGATGCAAAAAAGAAAAAAAATGTTGTAGGGCCAGGGATTTAGTTCAGTTGTGCCATGCCTGCCTTGCAAGCGCAAGGTCTGACTGAGTTCGATCCCTGGTACCAAAAAAAAAGTTTTTGCTTAAGAATTTTTTTTAACCCTAAAAATAGGCACATAGATATTGACTTCAAAGTACCCAGCTCATTGGCAATGTTGCCTATGGCACGATATGGATAACAGCACCAGTGTTTGTCTTGTCCTCTGCTGTTCTAAAGAACCCTGGTTCTAAAGGATTTTATAAGAAGTTAACAATTTATGCCTAACGCAATTTACTGATTTCTAATAAGAATGGCTCTTATTAAGCCATCTTTCCAGTTGGATTTGTTCCGCTATTAACCTAAATTTTTATATGCATCTTCTTTTTTTCTTACAGAGCCTTCCTAATATTCTCACTGATGATCGATTTAAAGTTATGTTTGAGAATCCTGACTTCCAAGTAGATGAAGAAAGTGAAGAATTCAGGCTTTTGAATCCACTTGTTTCAAAAATTAGTGAGAAAAGGAAGAAGAAACTAAGACTCTTAGAGCAACAAGAACTTCGAGAAAAAGTAACGTGCTCTTTGTCATTTAGAATTTGTTACTGTTTCTTTAATAGTCAAAAATGTGAATCAGAAAACCTCTGCTTAGACTTGAGATGTATTCAATTTCCTCCTACTTGTTTGACGTTTGCGGTGTGATCGAAAAGTATGGTGAATGTTTAAATTTTTTTTTTTTTTTTTTTTTAAATTTATTGCAGTAAAAGCCTTACTGCCATGAATCCCCTCAGAATCCCTCCCTTCACTTTAAACACATTCATCCCATTGTCCTTGTCACTTTCTGCACCAGCTCTGGAGTCCTCTTTCCTGAGGGTCTTCAGCTGCACTGTCCTGGCTGCCTCCATGTCCTGAATGGATTCAAAATCTTTTCCTTTCATGGTCATTTTGACTTTAGGGAAGAGCCAGAAATGGCACAGCGCAAATTGGTGAATAAGGTGGATGAGGACACAGTGTCATGTGTTTGACAGAAATTACAGTAAATGTTCGATAGCAAGGGGTGATCAAAAAATACAATGAGTGATTAAATTTTAAAATTCGTGGGCCAAAGATTTAGCTCAGTGGCACCATGCCTGCCTCACAAGCGCAAGGTCCTGAGTTCGATCCCCGGTATCAGAGAAAAAAAAAAAAAGACTCCAGTTCTAAAATTCATTACAGTAAAAGACACATTGCCGGAAATCATCCTCAAAATTGTCTCTCTTGCTACAAACACACTTATCCCATGGCTCTCAGCAACGTGTCCTTTACTGAAATAGGGTTTTGTAGTTTCAGCCTTCCTGTAGTTGCAGTCACCCTGCTTACCACAGGAGTCTCTTCAGTGCCGGTTGGGCACAGCAGCTTAGTCTCCCACCTGGTGCTCTGGAAATAAAATGATGGTCAGGGGCCCACTCCTTCCCCAATTCCAGGAGGAGGAAGAGGAGCCGGAAGGCAGGCCAAGCGACTCGGAGAGCTCTGACAGCTCGGAGGATGAGAAGGACTGGGTGGCCGAGGTCCGGAAGCAGCGCCGACTGTTGCAGCAGGAGGAAAAGGTGCGACGGCAGGAGCAGTGCCGAGAGGACCAGCAGGCAGTCCTGAAGCCCCAGTTCTACGAGATCAAGGCCGGGGAGGAGTTCCGAAGCTTCCGGGAGTCTGCCTCCAAGCAGAAGCTGATGAAGTGAGTAGGCGGGAGGCCTTGCTCCTCCTCTGGGGCCAGGGGATGCTGGGGGAGGGGGGACTGGGGAGCACCAGGCAGGCAGAAAGGAAGCATTGCTGTTGAGAAACACCAGTTTAAGCCAGGCATGGTGGTGCATGCCTGTAATCCCAGCACTGGGGAGGCTGACGCAGAAGGATCTCTTGAGTTTGAGGCCAGCCTGGATACATAGTGAGACCCTGTCTCAAAATAAACAAGAAACAAAATACTCCGGTCCTTACTTTGCTTATTTTTCACCAACTCTCTGAGGTCTAGTTGACGGGCAGTAACACACAGGGTGCAGCCCCGGGAGTGCCGGTGGGCGTGTGGAGACCCCCCAAGTGGTGGGGCGCCTCTCGCTGCCTGGTCCCCTCCATCTCCCTGACTGACAGGTAGCTGTCTTGTTCTGACCTCGCAGATCATAGCTTTGATGCCATCACACAGGCATAATTAAGGGGTAGCAAATCCTTTGCCTCTGACAAAAAGTTAATTTTACAAATTAGAATCTCAGTTCTGTTCAGGCCATCTCAGTTTACCTAACTACTGACAACGTCATTTGGGAAACTGGCCACAAATGGTAAGCCTTTCATAGGAGAACTGAGAAGTCATAAGAGTGGTGCTCTGTATTCTTCTTCTTTTTTTTTTTTTCTGGTACTGGGGATCGAACTCAGGACCTTGCACTTGCTAGGCAGGCTCAGCGCCACTGAGCTAAATCCTCAGCCAGAGGAGCGGTGCTCTGGAGTAGTGGAGGAGCCGGAGAGGAGAGGGCCGTGCTGGGGCTGCAAGAGGGCAGGCTGGCGGTGTGCAGTGGGCACGGGGTTGCACTTCGGAGCTGGAGCTGCCGCTGGAGATGCCCAGGGTGGGGTGGCGATGGCTGCAGGGCAGTGCAGATGTTTTGAACAAACCTGGACCAGCCTCTTTAGAAGGGCGCGCACCTGGCATCCCCGCACTGCACTCAGGAGGCTGCGACAGAAGGATCGCCATCATGAATTCGAGGCCAGCCTGGGCTACCCAGTGAGACCCTGTCTCAAAAAAATAAAAAGAAGTTAAAATGGTGAAGTAGTATACTGTAAATATTTCCCGTAAGCAGAGCGGTATCGCAGGAAGAGCTCTCCGTCATCGGATATTGGAGCAGGAGCGAGCAGCACCTCATGCCTTTTTGGGGTGCCCCGGGTCTGGCGCCCGCTGAGCTGGTGCCTGCACTGAGCCCGAGGCCGCCCTTCACTCTGGGGGCCCCTTCGCCCACCATGGGCACCTGTGCTGCGTCTGCTTGCGAGGTCGTGAGGAGTGCTGCCGTGAACCTTGGAGTCTGTATTTTCGCCTGCATGCTTTCTTTTGTGCTGGGTGTGTACCTAGTGACAGCCTGGCAGGTCTCGGGACAGCTCAGTATTTAGCCTTTTGTCAGGCTCAATGGTGCATAACTGTAATCCCAGCACACTGGAAGGCTGAGGCAGGAGGATTGCAAGTTCCAGTGCAGCCTGGGCAACTTAGCAACTTAGTGAGACCCTGTCTGTAAATTTTAAAAAAACTTTATAGCAGTCTGGGGATATAAATAAATACAAAACCTTTGGGTTTAGTCGCCAGTATTACAAAAAAGAAAGAAAGAAAAAGAACATACCTTTATGATGTCTCTGCTCCCCTGCTTCCCTTTCTCTGCAAAGTAATTTAAAAAGTGAGTTGAGGGGAATTTTTTTTTTTTTTTTGGTACCGGGGATTGAACTCAGGTCCTTATGTTTGCAGGGCAGGCGGTGGAACCACTGAGCTAAATCCCCAGCCCAGAGGGGCATTATTTTTAATTAAATATTCCTAATTAAAGAAATTGTAGAGTAGTGTGTGTGTGTTTTCAGACCTCAAAGAAGTAAATCATTCAGTTTTCCTGGGGCATCTAATAAATATCTAATTTGATTTTTCACCTTGCAGTTTGTGCCCTTTTTTTCTGTACTATTTTAAGGTGGCCTTTCTAACAACTAGCCCTTTCCCTTGGCAAGCCCCTCTCACCCAACATGAATAATCCCACTTCACCCTCAACTTTTTAAAGCCTGCAGGTTTTTGTTTTGTTTTGTTTGTTTTGTGGTTGCTTTTTGTTTGAGACAGGGTCTTGCTATGTACCCCTGACTGGCCTTGAACTTGAAGGGACCCTCCTGCTTCAGCCTCCTGAGCACAGGATTTCTGTTGTAGTTGTTCACCTTGTCCAGTTAGTTTTCCCTAAATGCTTTACTGTTGGTTTAAATGGCCCCAGGCCTGCAGACCAGACCCCAGGGGGTGAGGCTGGGTCCCCGAGTGTGACTGTGACCAGGTCACCGGTGCCTCTGAGGTGGCAGCCGTGCCCTGGGGACCAGCTTTAAAGCAAGGCCCTGGGTGCTTTCTTGTCGGGAGCTCCGGGTCCCTTGCTCTGATCTCCTGCCACGCCCGTTCCGGCAGTGCCTGCAGTGGTACAGACAGAGCAAGTCTGCACAGGTGCCTGCTTGGGAAGTGGTTCCTCCCAGATCCGTGCTGCTGGAGCTGAGAGGGAAGAAGGGAAGTGTCTGGCCGGCCGCTGGGGCTCCGCCACGAGTTCTCACTCAAACAAGAGCGAGAGGACCCTTCATTTCCCGACACCGGTCCTGTGTGGCTGTGCGCCCTGGGCCTGGCCATGGTACCTGCTGTCGCCCGTCCCCGTGGCCCATGTCCTGCCACCCTCTGCCCTGTGGAAGGGTGAATCCTGACTAGGGTTAAGGGGGTTGCATAGTCAGTCTGCGAAGAGCCCTGCAGATGCTCAGAAAGGGGCGCTTCCGCCCACTGCTGCCTCACCGTCTGCAGGAGGTGCTGGGGCCTCGGGGAAGGAGGGCGCACACGAGCTCCAGAGTCCTCCTGCCAGACTCATCTGCAGCAGCTGGGATCCTAGGAACTGGGTTCCAGGGTCGGGTGCCGGGAGGGACACCACTTCACGCAGCCAGCCTTTTAATACCCCTCAAGTCTTCTAGAGTTAACATTAAAAAGGTGCACTCAGTTTGGGTGGTTTGGTTGGGTCTTTTGTTTTTGAGGAGGAGAAAACAATAGGAAATTATATTTCTTATGTCTTTATACATTTTATATATAGCTTATAGGTTTCTTTTTCTTCATGTAGATTCCTTTTTTCCTTCCTTCTCCCTACTGCTTTAGCCATTTCTCCAAGAATCAGAGCCATTTAAACTTACTGTAGGCATGTATCTTTACACATAATTCAGTTTTTCCCCACTAAAGCAAGTTATCAAAAAAAAGGCCAATACTGTGTTTCATAGTGAAACCATTCCTATAGCCTCGTGCGGTGGAGCGTTGTGTAACTGGCTCAAAATGCAGGTGTCATTGTTGGGCGTGCAGGAGGAGTTGTTAGCTGCACAGATGGTGTGGGCTCAGAGTGCAGCAGAAGAGAACAGACACAAGCCAGACGCAGTGGCACATGCCCGTCCTCCCAGCATTCAGGAGGCTGAGGCAGGAGAATCGCTGTGAGTTCAAGGCCAGCCCGGGCTCCATAGGGAGACTCTGGCTCAAAACACAAACAGAAAATGAGGACAGAGACAGATTGTGTATATAAAGTGACCTAGAAGTATTTGGAAAACATGATCAAGAAACAAAAAACGATTTCCCTTTGGGGTAAAGTGTATCAAAGAGAATAACTCTAGGAAATGTCTGAAAGGAAAGACCCTCAGAGAGACCAGGGGAGGCTGAAGGGTCCGATTTCCCCGAGCGGAAGGGCTTTGCTTTCTGTCAGAATAAACTTCGGGACAGTGTCTCGTGTCGTTCACGCTGTACGACGGTAGAAGCAGGGTGATCACAGGTCTTTGTGGTGCGAACTGGAAACCTTAGTCTGCAAGTGCATGTATAAATATGAAGTGCTTGGGCTCATACACACACTGCGAGGGACAGTTAGATACGGGCTTCAGAAATAGACTGCTCTTGCCACGCCTGTAATCCAAGCCCTGGGAGGCTGAGCCAGGGGCACCTCCGTGAGTTGAAGGCTTTTGACCTGGGCTCCATAAGACCTTGTCCCCCCTCTAAAAAAGAGCCAAAGTAGAAAGAAACAAACAAACAGATTGTTCCTTGTGTTTGACCTCACAAATGCAGGGTGAGGTGAGTGGCTGTCACTGACCTTCTCAGTGCCAGAAGCTGATGAGCTCAGTGTCGGTGCCCCAGCATCGGAGGTTCAGGACAGCCAGAATCGCCGCATTCCCCCTGGGATTGTGTTTCCACCTGTGTGGGAGACTTCTCGAGCAGTCCATCCTAACTCACACTTGCTCCACGTGGTGAACCGCAGCGTGACGCCAACTAACGTCGCCTTTTAAATTCCCTGCAGCAAAACCCTTGAGGATCGGTTGAAACTTGAAGCAAAAAATGGCACATTGGGCGTCGCCGACACCACCGTGGGCAGCAAGCAGCTGACGTTCACACTGAAGAAGGTGGGTTGTTCTCAGCATCAGTTTTTAACTCCCAGAGGGAGAAACAGGCTCCCGATACTGGCACATGGGTATCAACCTCGGCGCTGTCCCGAGCAGCTCCTTCCTGTCCCCAACCCAGAGCCATGGTGATCCGGGTGGCTGGGGGCAGCAGGGCCTCAGGGGCCCAGGAGGTACACACCTGTAATCCCGACTACCCAGGAGGCCGAGGCAGGAGGATTGCAAGTTGGAGCCAGCCAGCCTGTCTCAGAATGAAATAGAAAGGAGCCAGGGACACTGCTTCGTGCTAGGGCACTTGGCTAGGGTCATGAAGCCCTGGCCTCTGCCTCCAGGTCTGGAAAAAGAAAACTGAGCACCCAGTGGCCCCAGGGACCCGGAATCGGGAGCTGTGGTCTCCCTGGCCGCCCCCCTGGTCACACCTCCCAGGGCGACCTCTGCTGGTGGCGATCCCATTTCGGGTTGATTCCTCCGCCTGCCCAGCAGGGACCTGCTGCTTACAAATCTGCTGTTAACCACAGGGAAGCGGCAGGACCTCACTTCTCAGGCAAACTCCCCTCCTTCCGGTCGGTCATAGCACAGGCACCAAGCAATCGGCAAAGGAGGACAGCTGGCAGCCGCCTCCCCCAGCGCTGACCCGCTGCCTGCTTGGGACCCCTGCGCTCTTAGCGGAGTGTGGCAGGGCCCGGTGGCACGGGGTGCGAATCCCTTTGTGTGGCGGGGTAGCGCTGCTCTCAGTGTTTCTCCCATACTGTGCTTCTCTGTCCTAGGCTGGCAGACACTTGGACTGGCCTCTCCCCCGCTTTTTGGGTGTTAGGAATAAAGCTGCTCCAGAAATTCTTCCATGTTCTTTGACAAACCTTTTTCACCTCCCTTAGGCGTATACCTAAGAATGAGTAGAATAGCCAAGTCAGGTGATAGTGTTTAAGTTTTAGTTCTTTGAGATGGGGCCTTATGCAGCCCAGGCTGCCCTTGAACTCGAGATCCTCCTGCCTCAGCTTCCTGAGTGCTGGGATGATGGGGGTGCACCATCACATCTGGCCCAGATTGGATTTAAATGGCGTTAGGTGCAGCCCCTCACTTGTCCTGCACAGCAGGCCCCGGTGGAGCTGAACTGATTGTCCCGAGAGCTACCCTGTCTGCAGAGCAGTGGCTCCTTCCTATGGAGATGGCTGGCAGCGGTGCCCAGTGCCCCAGAACCCGGCACATGCCCGCCCACAGGAGCCCCGATTCCCACCCCACCCTCCAAGAGAAGAGGCGGGGTGAAGCCGCCTGAGTTCCGGTGCAGTCAGCCAAGGCCTGGTAGCTGAGGCAAGCAGAGGGCTGAACTGAACTTTTCAGTATAAAACGTGACACCGTTGTCGCCCAGAGAGCGGGAGGAGGTTGCCCTGATGGCCCATCGGGGAGATGGTGGAGCGGGAGTAGGACCTGACGGTTGCTGCTCAGATGACCAGGCCTCAAACTGCTCAGCGGAGGGAGCTCCAGCCCTCTGTGGCCCTGCACAGGGCGCCATGGCCAGGCTCGGGGCTCCAGGTGCTGCTGGCATCTTGGAGTACCATGTGCAGGGCTGCTGCCACCTGTGGGCCTCGGGACAGCGACCAGGGAGCGGGAGCTGGTGTCTCACACCCCCTGAGGTGTCCTTGGAGCCAGGCCTCCTGCCAGCTACTGGCATTGCCATTGGCATGGAGTCGGAGCTGAAGGTGCCTGGTTTTTTTTTGGTTTTGGGGGGTTTTTTTTTGTACCGGGGATCAAACTCGGGACCTTGTGCTTGCAAGGCAGGTGCTGAAACCACTGAGCTAAATCCCTGGCCCTCCAAAGGTGCCTGTTATGCCTTCCGGAAGCCCTGCTGTCGCTGTCGGGTGACCTGCGGGCACCTTCCCAGCCCTGGGCTGAGGTCCCTTTGGCCTGGGAGCCCGTGCCCCGCCAGCCTGGGCAGCGTCTGTGACGGCAGCTCTGTGGGCACTGGGAGCTGGGGCTCATGGAGGCCGCGCGGGGAACCTCCCTTGTGTGTGAGGAATGCGTGGTCTGGGCTTGGAAACCGAGGCCTGCTTACTCCTGGCAGGACGTAGACCCGGGCGGGGGGCGGGGTCGGCTGCAGCCTGGGACCCGCCGGGCCTGGAGCCTTCTTCCCTGCCACCCTCTCCCCGTTTTCTCTTCCAGTCCGAGCAGCAGAAGAAGCAGCAGGAGGCGGAGAAGCTACACCGGCTGGAGAGGAGGCAGCTGCGCCGCTCCGCTGGCCACTTGCGCTCGAGGCCCAGGAGGGGCCGCCGGTTCTTCTGAGCGCCCTCATGGGCCAGGAGGGTGATGCGAAGGTCGGGGACAGTGGTGCTGGGCGCTGCCGCCCCTTGCTCTGTTCTCCAGGTCACTGCTGTCTGCAACTTGCAGAAGAATTGCCGTGGGCTGCAGGCTCTTCCCACACTGGGAACAGACTTCCGCCCTGGACCCTCTCCTTGCAGTGTCTGTGCCTTTGTGACAGAGCTCCCCAGGGGCGCCTGTCTGCCCCGGTCCCCCTCGGATGGCCGAGGACGATTTTGTTGACAGGCTCGCCCATTATGAGTTTGGGGGGGGTTAGAACTACTTTTATACCAGCAGTATAAATTAATGGTAATAACAATAAACGAGAAGTGGAAGCGACTGCTTATTCTTCCATTTGGCACGAGATCAGATAGGCTTTTGCTGTGGAGGTGCAATTAGAGAGAGACTCGCTGGAGGAGACGTTTGTAAAATAAATACTTTCATTTCAGCGACTTCTCTGAGAGGGACCCTTGCCTTGAGTTAGTTTGAAAGTGAGCTTCGGTTTCGGGCGTCACTTGGAGGTGCCATGGTGAGGCCAGGTGTGCTGCCCGAGAGGCGAGGCCGGGCCAGTGGTGGTCGCCTCTCTGGGTCCTCTCCTCTCCTGCCCTCCCTGTTCCCCACAGGCAGGGACAGCATGGGTCACTGTGCCCTCTGGGGCCCACGTGCTGGCGTTTGTCCACAGGAGTGGCTGTCCCGTGGGGCTGGCGGGCACCTGGTCACAAAGCGGGAGGGGACTCCGCCTCTCTGGTGGCTGGTGACACAGTAGAGGCCGGGCCATAGAGCCTCACTCACCTGGGGCCCCACAGCCTCTGGGTTCCTGGCTCTGCTCCTCCTCCAGTCCCTGAAGGGCAGCCGAGCTGGGCTGGGTCTGCCAGGGTCAGACAGCTGCTGACTCCCGCTGGGTCCTCCGACCCACCCGTCCCCTAGCACAGTGTCCTTCCCTGCCCTGCTGCTTGCTGGTCTGTCCCCTGCCTGTGACCCAGGGAAGGACCCATCTCTCCAGGGTCTGTGCCACAAGCTGCCCCTGGGGTACCCCCATGGCCCCTGGGGCTCTGATTCCCAGCCCTGCGGCTGAGCCAGCTCCCCGGGGCCTTTCATTGGTGGGGTAGGGTGGCTGTGGAGACAGGAAGTGTTCAGGGACATCGGGCCTGGCGCTGCTGCCCTCCGCACAGCGACCTCCCCAGGGGCATCTGTGGCCACGAAGGTCTGCGACTCCTGGCCCACGAGCCTCTCTGCCACTATACTGGGGCCAGGAGGGGTCACTGTCCCAGTGACACGGAGTCCAGAGTCCCCGCCGTCTGCCCTGGACACGGCCTGCGTGTGCTGCACACGTGCACTTTCGTCTTCTCGGTGCCTGTGAGGCAGACATGTGCTGCACCCCAACTCAGTGCTCATGACGATGATTCGTGGTGATGCACATTTCCCAAGAAAGCTCGCATCGTTCTTTTGTATACACGTCACAGTACTTGGGTATACAATAAACTTACTTAACTTTCTGCCTACTTGTGGTTCAAACTGAAATCATAGAGGACCTGAAAACCCATTTGTACAGCAGTTGGTGGTGGTCACGCCAGTAATCCCAGGATGGCTGTGGCCTTATTAAAATTTTAAAAGGTTTTGTGAGTCCTTAGTTAAACTTGCAATGCATACAGAAACCTGCCAGGCTGTTTTATTTAATTAACTGGGTTTTGAAGTAATTTTCAAACCTGACTTTACCTTCATGGCCAGAGTTGCAAAGTCCAAAGTAGAGAATGAGTTGAGGCTTGGAGGGATGGAATTCTGCTCAGAACTCAGAGAGGACACAAGGTACTGGAATAAATAATTTGATTATTTCTCTGACATCCCTAAAATGTTTATATATACAAATTCTCGCTATGTAGATCCGATTGACCTGGAAGTTATTGTATAGTCCAGGCTGGCCTTGAACTCTTAGCAATCCTCTGGCCTCAGCCTCTGGACTCCTGGGATAGCAGGTGTGTGCAACCATGAATGGCAGTTTTTACTCTTGAACTTAATTTTTTGTTCACATGTAAATTTTTCAAAATTAATGCAATAAAAACCCCAGACATTTAATATTTGAAGGCTCTATTTTGGGGGCCCATATGCTCCCAGCAGCCCTGTCTGTTGTGAGCACATCGCTGGCGAGTGGGGTTTGTTGAAGTCCTTTCTGTCAGAGGTACTGTGGCCTGGACTGGGAGCTGCAGGGTCGCAGGCCGCAGGGTTGGAATCCGGGTCCCCCCTTTCCCCAAGGCATCCGGAAGCCGCCACACCCAACTTCCTACTGGCCAGAGCTCCGGAGGAAGTCATTACTCCTGCCAGGCCTCCACAGCCTGTCTGCAGCTGTTCCTGAGCACAGATGGGACTTCAAAGCTGTGGGGCGAGAGCCAGGCCAACCCTTTTCCTGGTGCCCTTGAGTTTCATTTATTTACTTACTTATTTTTGGTTTTTTAGACAAGGTCTCTCTTTGTCCGTGTGGCCCAGGCTGGCCTTGAACTCTCGGCCATCCTCCTGTCTCGGCCTCCTGAGTATTGGGATGACAGGTGAGTGCCACCGAGCCCAGCTCTGCATTGCCTCTTGTTTGTGGTCTCTGCAGCTCTTGCCTTCACCCACTTGGTGTCTGGGGCTCTGAAGCCTTTCATCCTCTCCCTTGCACAATGTCACCTTTCTCCACGGCTCCAGAGCCGCCTATGAGACTCGTGGCCCACTGTCACCTTGAGTTGAAAATGCTCAGCAGAAAAGCGGTCCAGCCCATCCACCCACCCAGATGACCTCATCCTTGTCGTCCTCTTCCTCCTGGAGGGCAGGTTGGTGTCAGCTGTGCCCCCCAGGACCACCAACCCCCTGTGCAGCCTCCTGGTCCAGCTGAGTCTGGCTCGCTCCCGGGCCCGGACTGTGGGAAACACTAATCCTTTAATGATGAGCACTTCACACATTGAGGAGGGAGTCTGGTTCCACAGACAGTGAGGAAGCAGAGGAGCCCCGGGCTGGCCTGGGCTTGCTTGTGGTGAAGCCGCCAGTTAGTGGCGAAGTGACTTTGCCCAGCCGTGCCTCAGTGTCTGCATCTGTAAAATGGGTTTAAGAGGATCTGTCCCCTGGGGACTTCAGAGGGGGTTTGTGGAGATTAATGAGTGAGGTCCATTAAACGCCCCAGAAGAAAGGCAGCTAACTACCAGGCACTATTGTAATTAGCCTGGGTTCTCCGTGCCAGGTCGAGGCTTGTTTTAAGAGGGTAACCATGACAATGGGATTGGTGGAAAAGTACGTGTTTAAAAGACACAGCCATGAATCCTGCAATGGGAAGGAAGTTTATTTTGCAGGTTTCTGTCATAGCTGGGTGCCCCAGCCCCTTAGCGGTTGTCCAGTGGTGACAGGCCCACCCCTGCTGTGGCACTCTCAGCAGCGCGGGCTGCATTGTTTTTCCTCCTGGGCACGAAGGACTTGGCGAAGTGGTCAGTTAATATCACCGCACTCTATAGACCCGGGTGGTTGTTGCTCCATAAAGCCAGATGTGGTGGTGCACACCCGTCATCCCAGGACCTGGGAGGCTGAGGCAGGAGGATCCCAAGTTCAAGCCCAGCCTGGGCAACCTAGTGACTTAGTGAGACCCTGTCTCATAATAAAACAAAATAAAGTCAAAGGACTGGGAGCACCAAGCCTTCCGGAGGATCCCCTTGACCTCTCTTTCCGGGCCTGGAGGACGAACCCGGCCCCCGGGGATTATTGCTTCCTGTGTGTGTGGCTGAGCTTCCTTCCTGTGGCTGCCACCCCTGGGAAAGTGGGCTCCTGTATCCTGAGCAGCTAGGGTAGGAGTCCTCCCTGTTCATGGTGCAGAGGAAAATCCAGGGTAAACATGGAAAGGGGCAGTGCCCAGGGAGGGGGCTCCACCCAGACATCGGGCCACCCTGCCATTGCCGCAGTGAGACCTACAGGGGCTCAAGGATGAAGGGCGGCATTGGACTGCGGGCTGCATGGCCCATAGTGGTGTCACCTAGGTTGCTGGGCCTTGGGGGAGCAGTCCTGCGGCTGGTGAGATAGTGCGCTGCAGGGATTTGGGACCTGGGGCCCTGGGCCAAGCTCCTGTGGCTGGAACTTCATGTGATAGCCCAAGTCCCAGCAGCCTTCTTGGGCCAGGAGGGCAAGGGCTGCAGGCCAGCTCTTGGAGGCTGCAATCTGAACTTCTTGGAGAGACGTGGACACCCCCTTTGGATCTCCCTGCCTCTCCGTGCCACATCTATCCACAGGCATATGCAAGGGGCAGTAATAGCTCTCCCGGCTGGGAGAGGCACTTTTACATCTCCGTGTTCTTTTGAGCATGAAGCTCACAGTAAGGGATCTGATTGGATTTAAATTTTTGCCATGCTCTTGTTACCCAGGGAACCATGGAATCTATATAGTGACTTCCTGCCATCTCCGACAACCCAGGCCCTTCACACTGAGATACATCTTCGGTCCTTTTTATTTTTTATTTTGCGACAGGGACCTCCCCAAATTGTCCAGGCTGGATTTGACCTTGGGATCCTCCTGCCTCAGCCTCAGTGTGCGTGTGCCACCGGGTCTGACTCAACCCTTCCCCCATGTAGGTCACAGACAGGCCCTTCTGGAGGGATGCAGAGCTGGTTTGGGCCCAGTCTCTGCTGATGCTGATCCTGGCTGATGCTGCTTCTTAGCTCTGGCTTCCGGGCTTGGCAGCTGCTGAGGGTCAGTGTCAAGCCTGAGGGGCCATGTGGCAGGTGAGGGGACAGAAAAGACTTCCTGGAAGGAAGAGCTGGGGTGTGCCAGGCTTCTTGGGCAGCCGGGGAGGAGTTCAGGGTCCCAGAAACCAGCTGTGCTGAAGGAATACCCAGGAATAAAAACGAAATGGGACAGAGCTCCAGGAGCCATAGGCTGCTTTTTGTTATTGTTGTTGTTGTTCTGGGAATTGAACCCAGAGCCTTCACGCTGAGTTATATCCCCCCACCCTTTCAATTTTTTTTTTTTTTTGGTGCTGGGGATCGAACTCGGGTCCTTGTGCTTGCGCATCAGGCGGCGAAACAACTGAGCTAAATCCCCGGCCCTCAATTTTTTTTTTTTTTAATTTTGAGACATGGTATTGATAAATCATTAAGTTGCCCAGGCTGGGCTCAAACTTGCAATCCTCTTGGCTCAACCTCTTGAGTGCTGGGATCACAGGTGTGTGCCACCACAGCCAACTCAAACACATGAACAGTTGACACATGAATAGGAGTGCGTGCACTTCCTTCCAAGGGCCACACGCCCTTTGCTACCCCTCCTGCAATGTCTCTGACAGCCTCTCAGCCACCCACAGGAGCTGCCCATTCCTAAGGGAGTAAACGGGGGCTCACAACAGCCCCCCCAGCCACTGTGTGCCCAGCTGGAATTTGAATTGGTGCCCAAGGCCCTCCCGTCTGAACTGAGCCTGCACCAGAGTAACATGGCCATGTCAGTGGGCTGCCGGGGACAGAGTGTGTCCACCAAGCTGAGCAGGATGTCCCAGGGTTACTTAAGACAGTTTTTATTCTCAGTCGTACATTTTGCATTTACTTATGGGCCACCTCATCTGAGTGATGGGAGATGCAGGATGCCGAGCCTTCCTTCTGGGAGCTGACATGTGGAAAAGTTGTGTTTGGTGCACGTCGGGGTAAAGGCTGTGGGCTCCCAGGACAGAGAATGCCCCCTTCTGGGTAGAGGTGGCATGTGAGCAGGTTTCCTGCAGGAAGCTTGGGTTGAGGTGAGCTCTGAGGCAGGAATAGGGCTGGAGAAGGCTGAGAGCAAAGGAAGAACATTCCAGAAGGAGACACGGAGTCAGCTATGACTCGGAGGCAAGCAGGTGTGAGGTGTGCGTGAGGAAGAACAGGCCTCCTTGGCCGGAACAGCAGAGGAGGTAATGGGGGCTGGAGGGGAGGGAGGGGAGGCTTCAGAAGGACGTGTGGAGCCTGGTGTGTGCGGGAAGATTTTTCTTTGCTTTTAAAATCTGACTAATAATGTTCCATCGTTCCTTTTTATTTTTTTTCCGGTACCAAGGATCGAACTCAGGACCTTGTGCTTGTGAAGCAGGCGAGGTGTCACTGAGCTACATCCCTGGCCTCCATCATTCCTTTTGTCAGCCTGTTGTTTTCACAAACTAATTGGAGGGATTTTTAAAATATTTTTAATAAATGTACTTAAAATCCACTGATTCTCCTCATTGGCATGATTTTAGGTTAAATGTGGTCAAATTATATAGTGAATGTTTAAATTCTAAAATGCATTGCAGTAAAAGACACATTGCCACGAATCCCCCTCAAAATCCCCTCCTCTCTTCGAACACACTCATCCCATCATCCTTGCTGCTGCTCTGGAGCCCTCTTTCCTGAGGGTCTTTACAAGTTGTGGTCAAAAATACAGTAACTGCTGGGCATGGTGGCGCATGCCTGGAATCCCAACACTCAGGAGGCAGAGGCAGGAGGATCACCAGGAGTTCAAGGCTAGCCTGACCTACATACTGAGTTCAGGGCCAGTCTCAACTACAAAGCAAGATCTTGTTTCAAAAAACAAAACAAAAATAGTGACTGCTGCTACCGAGCATCATCCAATGGAAAGGCAGCTCATAAACACATGATGCTGTGTCCTCATCCACCTTCGTCACTGGATCTGGCACCCTGTGACCCTGGCTCTTCCCCAAAGTCACAATGACCATGAAAGGGAGACGTTTTGAGTCCATTCAGGACATGGAGGCAGCCAGGACAGCGCAGCTAAAGACCCTCAGGACAGAGGACTCCAGAGCTGCTGCAGGAAGTGGCGAGGGTGATGGGATGAGTGTGTTCAAAGGGAGGGGAGGATTTTGAGGGGATTCATGGCGATGCGTCTTTTACTGTGATAACTTTTCAGTCATACCCACATATGTCCCAGAGCATTTTGTTGTTCCCAGGTTTTTAAAACATAGAGCTATAAAAGTCATTTAGTTCACACATTATTAGTTTTTACTCTCTAAACACCCCACACAACCACAGTAACATTTCCCGACACAGTTACTTTTTCACAATGCTCAATTGCCCAAGACAAGGCACTGACTTTCTTCAGGTGATCAGAAAGGC